TACCATTCATTGAACACCTAAAGACTGATGAATATTTAGCCACTGTGGGCAGTTTTTAGGATGTTTTTGCCTATTTTATATTTTTTGATCTTTCCCAGGCAATTCCAGCTCCTGAAAGGGCATAAATATGTGAGAGTTACAGTCTGGCTGGAGATGTGTTTTGCTAAAGTTTTTACATCAAGTTTCTAGCTCTAACAGATGAAACAACAGCTGTAAAATCTAAAAGTTACAGACAAATCTGCACGAGTTAAACACCAAGGACCAAAACCAATGCTTGAAGTTATTTCTTGTTTTAAAACATCATAATCCTGATTCCTTTAAAGAGCTGCAAATAGAAATGCCCCTTCCTAAGGCATTATCTACTAATACATCTGCATCTTCAAAACATCCACAGTTCATGACCTCCAGTGTTCACCATCTCCAGTTTTATATTCCCACCATCTCTATATCCCACCAGAACCTTGTTTTCTCATTTAAAATATTACGCGATGCCTTACCCAGCCCCTAAGGTTTGCACTGATCATACATGAGAAGAGAGCATAAAGAAATACTTGTATCTTTTTTTTTAAAGAGGGGCAGGGACAGTTTTGGGTTAATTCCTGGTCAAAATGGTGTCTCTAGCAACATGACAGAACAACATCCGCTGTTGGACCTGAATGTCTATGAGCAATCTTTTAAAACCACTAGATTATGACGAATATGGAGAAAGACGCTTGTGCATTTACTACTGAATGCTCATACGTTTTCTGTTTCTCAGATGCCAGGAAGTTGTTCAAAGCTTGGTATTGGGCTGGACTAACTACTTCAGAAAATCCACAAAGCACAAGAAAAAATAAGCCAAACTCCAGTAACTGTTTTCAACAGTTCTGTTTGGAGAACCAAAAACTCAGTTAACCTCTCAGGGGTTAGCGTACAATATTTTGGAGATTAAATTCAATTACAGGGTGAAATGGGCATTTTTGTTTCTGTTTCAAGTGCAAGCTGCAACACATTGTTGAAGATTAAGCTGTTTCCAAAGCCTCCATTACAGTTTTAAGGAGAAAAATAACCTCTGAAGTGTTCAGTATTTGTTGCCTGTTAATGATGTGAGTGCCTCAGAAGGAGTTAACAAGGGTGCTGAGGCGCTGGCACAGGGTGCCCAGAGAAGCTGTGGCTGCCCCATCCCTGGCAGTGTTCAAGGCCAGGTTGGACACAGGAGCTTGGAGCAAGCTGCTCTAGTGGAAGGGGTCCCTGCCCGTGGCAGGGGTTGGAGCTGGATGAGCTTTAAGGTTCCTTCCAACCCCTATCAGTCTGTGAGGTAGATACCTATGAGGTAGATAATTAATTGAGATACAGACCAAGGCATGTGAATGCACAGAAGCAAAACACATTTTAGTCCCCTGAGCCCAGAGAAAATCTGCACCTGTCCATTCAGATATGACAAATCCTTTCTAAAGAGCAGAACTTCATTTGAACAACATGCTATAAAGACATGAATGTTCTAAATAGATGATGCTCATGACTTCTCTGCTGCTGCTGCAGCAACATTGATGTTCTTTTTTTATCTTTGTCCTTTAGACTTGCTTACTCTGTATCTGTCACTAACACTGTGTTAAGGAACAGCTCTGCAAAGCACTACAGAAAGTAAAAGGGAGTCATGGAAGACAAATGACAGCATAATCTCATACTAGAAAAAACACTGCTGAAGATGAGTGTAAATGAGCAATTCAAATTCTACTGCCCAAACACTACAATGTGACAGACACTGGTGTTCAACTGAGACACAGTTAAACATACATTCACGTGCATGCTTGGAGGAGTAGCCCCAGGCAACAGGATGAAACGCAGACATGCTGCCCATGACAGACTCCACTGCTACTTTAAGACCATGCCCAGTGCACTGAGTCCTGTCTCAACTTCTGAACTTATCACCCAGAGCTCTAAGGAGTAAAAGCTGGTGAAAGTATTTGGCCTTATCGAGGCTGCTGGGTTTAACGCCTTCCACAGCACTTGAGGAGATGAAATACTTTGCCACAGCCTTCAACCCAAAACTGAAAAAAAATAAATGTTTCTTTGAGGAAGGTGTTAGAAACAAAAAAAGAACCCACCCAAACTCAGCCTGGCATCGCAACCAGGATCAATGCGATCTATTTCAGCCAGTGGTGGGCTGAAGTGAAGGCTAGGAGTTGGGTAACCTGATGTCCTCTTCCTGCCAATATTCAAGCTGAGATATGGTTCATGCTTGGCATGTACAGTTGCTCTTCTCATTAACACCTTTACCGCTTGCTGCTGCTCAGACAAAGCCCTCACTTCACAAACTGTTGAAGGCACACTGGCACCATATGCACAAGGGGAAGTTATTTTCTCTGGCTTGCAAATGGGGAAGCTTACATGCAAAAAGGCTGTAGCTTAAATCTTGAAAATGCCTGTGAATTGGCAGTGCAGGATCAGGGTGCACTGATGCCCAAGCACTGTATCACTGGGCAGTGTACTCAGGATAAAACTGGGGGTGCAGTGCCCACCACGGACACCAAAGGGGCTTTGATTCTCACAGGTGGTAATTTATTGGCAAGGACATTCAACCGGTGTGGCCCAATGAATGAAGCCAGATGAAACAGATGCACAGGAGCTGAGCAGACACCGAGCTCCACCCCTCTGCCTGCCCCAGGGTCTCCAGCCTTCTCCCACCCAACAGCTTGCAGTAGTTGCTGTGCCATAAAACCTGCTAGGGGAACCCTCTTCCTTCCCACTACCCTGGGGCTGATCCCTGCTGCCAGCAAGCCCCTCTTATATACAGCAATGGGTCCTGCCTTCCCCTGCCTGCGGGCACCATCAGCCCATGGCAGCGAGTGGGGCCACCGCTGCTTTGACACTCAGTGCTGACAAGTCAAAGCAGCCAGCTCCAGAAAGAAGGCATCCTTCAGCTTCATCGTGGAGGGCAGGAGTGCTTCCACAGCTCTTAAGGTAAGGATTTCTGTTTTACCGTGGAGCAGAAGGGGGGGATAGGAGTCACACAAAGGTGGGGTCAGTGAGGTCTCAATTATCCTGATTTTTGCCCTCAATGGGATGCATATCAAAGGAAAGTCTTCACTTTCCTGTGGCGATTTGAAGAGCTGTGCCCTTAGTCTGAGCTTGAAGGGGTCAAAACGGGAATAAACACTTGACCCATTCGATCTAGAAGGTCAATAAGTGGAAAGGAGACTTTTTGCTCCAGGCAGTTTTCTGTAGACACCAGCTATTTCTGATCATATCGAGTTAATCGGCAGTTTCTGTGTTTTTAAGGATTACAGACAGTGATTACAACAAAGCTCTGCTCTTCTTCTGACAGTTTCGCTGCACAGCCATGTCTGTGAAACAGCATCCTCCTGCAAGTGCAACCTCATTTAAATATCAAGGCAAGAGCCCAAAATGTGCGCCCAGCTTTCCACAAGAAGCACGGAAGCATCCAATGCAAGAGATTTTAAAGAGCCTGAGTGGAGAAAAATTATGCTTGTTTTCTTTATTTCCAGCTCAAAACAGGATTATACAACACTGCTTATGTCTTAACTGGATTTTTTTTTAAAGATACTTTAAATTATTGTGTTATTTTGCATTCTCTCCACTGGGAAATCAAAGCTGACAATGAGACACTTTTCACTCATTACATATTTCATCCTCATTAAGTGAACTATGCTGTATGCTATGCATTACTCTTTCTGGAATTAGACTTCTGGGGAGCTATGACCTTTGTTTCTCTTATCCTTGGGAAGGAAATGTATTTTTTGCCTTCACGCATACATGCAAAGAAGTTAGGCATTGGCTATCCTGATGTAATCATTCTACTATGAACTGAAATACTTTAATTCAGGATAATTATATTTATCAAAGTTACCAGTAAGTAAATAAAGAAAAAAACACATACAATAAGCAATATATATATATATATATATGTTGTATGAGTTTGGGATTGTAACCTAAAGTTAGGATTGAGTTTAGGATTGTAACCTAAACTCATAGAAGATACCAAAACCTCAATGTTTTTGTAGGTGTTGACATTTTGGTTTGAGAATTTCATCCTGAACACACTGACTTAAAGTATGAAGAATGGTGACAAACATAGCAGTAAACTTTCTGGACCCATTCTAATCAAACCATCACATGGAAACCAGAGACAGAACTGAGCCCCAGGTACTGCATCTGTATTTGGAAGAACAGTGTTTTAGTAGGGGAATCTGTAAAAGAACAGATTAGTAGCCAGTATATTGCTAGGCTTTAGGAGGAAAAAACATCAACATACCTGAACCCTTCCCACTTTTACTCAAGACCCTGCATGCAACATGAAGCAAGTCATCAAGTTTCCACATCTGGAAAACACACACAGTACTTCACTACCACAACAAAAGGCTGTTAGGAAGGGGATGGGTATTAAACAAATGGAGCCAGATTTAGGGAGACAGAAGAATAAGGAACGGACATGCCAAAAGAGAAAAAGCTGAACTCTGACTAGAGGTCTTAAGCACAACAATTCATAACTTGAGCAAGTAATAAAACACAGGGGGAAGGAATATATTAAATAGGGAGAGAAAGTTTATTGTGACTGGCATGTTCCTCCTGCAGTAAGAAATAAATCTGGTTTGGCAAGAGCTAGTCTCGCTATACTGCATTTTGTACCACCAGTCTGCTGTTCCTTCACTGATGCAATTAAAGAGGTGGCATAGGACCTACTTTCACACCGAGAGTAAGGAACAACTGCTGATACAAGCTAACAGCTGGAAACATGTACGATAAACATCAGTTCAGCTACTGAAATCACAGATCCTTTTGAAGAAAAGGATCTGTCTGTCAATCAAACCATACGCCATGTAGCCCTAAAGTAAAAGTTAGGAGGAATAATCAGGGGGTATGTGTTATTTTTGTAAGGTAATGGATTAGAAAGATGCATTGTTTTAAATCAGTCATCAGCTAAAGAAGTGGCAGTTCTTTAATAATGCCAGGATTCATTTTATAAGTGAATAAACTAGCAAAAAGCTGGCTGGGTGCACCAGTAATCTTCAAAGCTTGATTGCTTTTTCTGATAGCTTTAGAAAATTAGTGGATGAAAGCATGTGTAATATATCTGGTCTGAGTAAAACACTTGATGTAGTGTCTTACAAAATCTCTACTTGCAAAATTAATTCAAATTGGCTTGGACATGGAGTACTGTCACTTGGATTTAAAAATGGCTGGCTGAGTGCAAATAAAGGGTAATGAAAAATGGCAATGTATCAAGTTGGTGGGAGGTGTCTGGTGGAGCTCTGCAGGGATCACTGTTTGGTCCTGTTTATTTAACGTCTTCATTAACAATCTGGACTAGGGAGTGAAACAGCATGTTAATTAAACTGACACATAATAATAAATCAGAAATTGCTTCTAATGCCAGCAGTAATACTTTACGGAAAAGCAGCGTGCTACCAAGGTTTCGAGAAAGGTTAAAGTTTCAATAACAAAGACTCAGCTGAGATATTATAATGGCATTCTACCTTTCAAATAAAATAGTCCAAAACATACACTAAGTGGGAGTCAGAAGCCTATTAGCAATCTACTAATTTAGAGCATGACTGCACAGTGTACATAAACTAAAGTAACTGGAAACTTTGGTTTTCCCACTGCCATTCGCATTGCGCTAAATTTGCTGGTAAAGACCAACTCAGTTGAGTTCACTAAACTGGTGGAAAAGTAGTATTTGAGGAGAAACTTGTTAAATCAGGTTTTAGGTGTTTCAAGAAGGGATCAACTGCTACATACAATGTAAAGGAGAAAAAAGAAAGACAAGATGGATCAGTGACAGGACCACATCTTTTAGTGTCACTCAAATTTAGATTGGATTAGATATAACATAAACCACCCCTTTAAGTATAGTTTTATAGTTTCATAAGACAGCCAAGATTCAGCATTTCAGAGTACTGTTTTCACAATGGCAAGACAGCAGTCTACTGATACAGCATGCTGGATTCACTTTAATTATAAATATTCCTAAAAAACCTCAAATAGATAAGTAAAGATGCAGTTGTTGACTGAACAGTGATGAAAACTGATCAAAGACTACAGTGAGTCACAGAAAAGAGTTCTCAAAAATAGGTTGGGATGACAGTACTCAGTCAGAGACACTGATTTCTCTTTTACAAATTTATGTATTAAAAAGATAGTTCTTAATAGCATTGTTATCTCCCTGCTTTGATTGATTTACAGCAGCTTTTCTAGGCTGGCCCTTGGGCTGCAGTACTGCACTGAATCATAAACAGAGACTTATTTTCAATGGGTGATTTGATGCTACTTCCTAAAAGGCAAGAAAAAGAAAGATAATTTTTAGGGTCTCCTTTACCATACCCAGTTTAAATTGTGCTGGGAATTCATGAAGTCCCCAGAAAACGTGAGTGTAAAGTAAAGGAAAAGAAAGGAAAGCTCTGCAGTCCCCAATCTAAATGCTTTGTCCTGCCAGCTTGTCGTTGCATCTTTTGGAGGGCAAAGCCCTATAGTCACACAGGAATACAGACAAGCAGCTCCACTGGTCCAGTGGAACTCCACTTGAGAATGGACCTCCAGAATTCCTTGTCTTCGTTAAATTGAATCTGTCATGCTTTCTGTCTAAAATGAGCTTAAACCTATTAGGGGAACCAGATAACTGGACGCACCATTCTGATGTCACATTCATTAGGTAGGTAAGTTGCTGTTGCTGAACTAGATGCTGAATCACCATTCAGAGGTGTAAAACATGAATTGTCTGAAGCCAGTAGTTACACTGATGTAAACGAGAAGAGAAAAACCCAGATTCATTTGCCAATATGTAATAAAATATGATGTATGTATATAAGTGTTCAATGCTCTTTAGCTGCAGTAGAGAGAAATTCTCTTGGCAGCTGTTATGCAATACACAATAAAGTCTCTTGCAATAGTATAGTGAAAACCCACAGAAACATTAAAGATTGTTTAGGTATCAGCTATTGTACTACACTTTTCTCAAGTAATTTATTCTCTGTGGTCTTGTCCCAAATGCGACTATCCATTAATGGCACCAGTTTTCTCGAGGTTTAGTTTTAATCCTCTCCTTTTAAAGGATTCCTTTTCTCCTGTTGCTTGGCTTTTTGTTGGTTTGTTTAGTTGTGGGGTTTTTTTTTGTAAACTCCAGTAATTTCTGAAGCAGCTGCATTGGTCATGAACTACTCACATTTTACAATACCTACAATGATTTTTAAACAGAAAGAATCCGCTCCTGGGAACGCTAATCCTTCCATTATAGAAATAATTAAGCTCTTTTATTTGCAAGATGAAAATCTTTAGGGAACATATGAAAACTAGCAAAGAGCAAATTTTCTTTTTTTTAAGCAGGAAAAATGATGATATAAACATTCCTGCCAGTGTCTATTAAACTGTGGCATATGGGAAGGCATACAAACACTTACATAAATCTTTCTCAGTAGTTCTTCCATTTGGCTCAGAAAAAAAGGATATTCTACAAACTTTCTTTACAAAACCATGATGGCAAATTCTCTCAAGATCTTTTCAATGTTAATACCCTTCCATGCTTTTATGGGAAATGTTAACCTAAATACTGTTATTCTGTCTTTCTAGTCTATAATTATCTATAGACGGTCCTTGTTTGCAAAACACACTCTTCCCCAGTTAAACAAAACTACTTGTTTTAGGTTTTTATTTACTTGATTTAGTTTATGATGTTCTGGTGCATTTTAAATGCAGCAACTTCTGTTCTTAAGTCTCCTACATTATTTGATTCTACACATTGCACTGTATCTACACATACAGGACTTAGCACATTTCCACCCAAATATTTTTGAAAGCTTACTGACATAGAAGTGCTATCCAATCACCAGATTTTGGATTATAAAACAGAAAGCAATATAGGAATATTCCTTGACTGGCCATGCCTGGTGATGATGTCACAGGGGAAAGTGAACAGCTGAGGTTACTGAGTAGCGATGGAGCAGCATTTAGAGGACAAAAACCAGAAAGCAGACTTCATTTCTTTTTCCTCTGCTCTCCAGACAAGCTGCTTTGTGAGTGTCTTATTTGAGGCTTGCTTTCCTGGAGAAGACTACACACCTGCCTGCCCGTGGGAAGTGGTGACTGAATTCCTTGCTTTGCTTTGTTTGTGCATGCAGATTTTGCTCTACCTGATAAATTGTTTTCATCTCAACCCACAAGTTTTCTCCCTCTTACCCTTCTAATTCTCTCCCCTATCCCACTTTCAGGGAGTGAGTTAGCAGCTGTATGGAGCTTAGCTACCTACTGGGGTTAAACCACAACAGGCAGGAAGAGATGTGAAGGGAAGAGCTGGTCACTTACAACAGGATTATCTAAATGGAGAGAAAAAATGTCCAGGTTAAGAGGAACAGGGAAGATTATGTTCTTGATTAATAACACCATGGCAAAAGGTATTGACAAGATCCCTCACTAATGGCTTCTAAAGAAATTAAGTTACTTGGGGATCTAGGTCAGTTTTTACAGAGGAGAAAGGTTGTATCAGGGTTAGACAGCACTTGTTCTTTTATTTCTATTGTTTCTGTTCTTCCAGAAGATGGAGAGAGAACGTGCACCCCTTGGTTTTGTTTTGATTTAAATAGAATGTGATGTAATAAAATTCTTGTAAATGAATATTAATATTATATGAGGTTGGCTTTTTATATTTCCTACTTATGTGCATACTTCACCAATGAAATATTTTAAACTGTTAAACACTTAAAATGCAAACAGGAAACCAAAAATAATCTATTCAGTAAGCAAGCACAACACACTGGAAACTTTACGACAGTATTTTCTAGCAGCACAGCTGGTATTTTGTTCTTGTCCTGGTTAAAAACAAGAGAGGAGCAAAGATTAATGAAAATAATATCAGCTTTTGAGAAAGCTCCTCTTGATTTTTGAGTTTACCTTTTTTTCTGAATTAGAGCAGTGGCACAGTTCCAGATGTGAGGTTGCTGATCATACAGTTACCACACAATTCTGCTATTGCTCTCTTAAGAGTTTGTTTGTATTCTAACCTACAAAACAGCCAACATCTCATTTAACACATGCTTATTAAATATAATTATTTCTCTATATATAAGTCAGACTTCTATTCAAATGTTGATTTGCTTGTTGGAAATCAAGTTAAACTTCAGCTTCCAGCTGAGTTATGAACTGGGAAAAACAGGATATCATTCCACAAATACTGACCTAACAGCTTTTAATCCTTCCACCAGTTCTGCTAAGAGTGTATAAACTGCAGCATTCTGCTTTTGCAGTTTCACTTATAAACTATTTACAGACTGAAGAGATAAAAGGCAAAAAGAAAGAGTATTTCTGAAGTCACCTTTTGAGAATATCATTTAGACGGATATTCAAACAGCTGTAGGTGACTGTAACAGACTAGTTTGAGAAAGTCACTATCTTCTCAGGTAGGCTCAGTGATTGCTTCTGTACTCCTCTTTACTTCTGTGTGTCAGACTTCCACAGAAGTAACCAGATTATGACAAATTATCCAGATGGAAAAATTAAAAGGTTATTTCTTCATGGGTCGAATGAGGCACTTCATGACCCATTGCAGAAATGAAGGCCTCCAGTCTGGCTTAAGGATACAGAAATCTCAATCCCTCACCCTGTGCATTCAGAACAAGGATAAATTGCTTTTAATAAAGACTAAGAGCCTAGCACAAACCCAGGGAGCACCTTATGAAAAAGTGTTGGGAGATCCTGAAGTCACAGGGCTCCTATCCTGTCTAAGGCAGATATGCCTTTACCTGTGTAATAGCATAGCCGGTGTGGCTTTTGAAGATTCCCTATCCTTAGAGGTGTTTTTGTGTTGTGGGGTTTATTTTAAGCACTGTCATATAGATGATGAGCATTCTGATAAGCAGATGGATGATCTACAGCAAACCTAGAGTTATACCCAAAATGTATCAGCACACAACTACCTGTGATACTATTCAGTTTTTCTACAGCACATGGTAAGCAATCAGACAAGACCAGTCCTTTAGTTGAGGAGTGACTTGCAGCAAGCTTTTCTGTGCTTTAACTGACTTCCAAGACACAAAGATGACTCTATCAGACTTAAAATGCAGATGAGACTTTTAAACGGAGAGCCGCAGAAATTATAGCAGCTACTCTGTTGATTTCTACCATGAGCTAAACACTGTCTTGACTGCTATATAGAGAACTTCCTCAACCCTGACAGAAATGAAGGAGAACTAAAAAATTCCCAGAATTCTTTCAAATTCCTTTAATATTCAATGATACTCCCTGTAGACATCCTATGTTTCTAGAGAAGGATAGACTGAGGAAATGACTGAATTCTGATGCAGTCTGCATATGAGACGGGGTTTTGCAAAACATCATTATCTTACGAGGCAGAATATTTAAACAATTCATGGCAAACTAATGCAATTTGTGCTGCTATATTCAGTGTCATGGTATGTTGATCTGTGAAAGCAGCTACCAGCGATACCTGCAATGCCCTGGAGCAAATGTGCCTGAGTACCGAGTTTCCAAGGTACTATAAGAAGAAACTGCTATGTTTAACCTAATTAAAATATGTTCTAATAAACAGTAAATTGGAAGAAACTGACATAAAAAGAGAGTGTACTGTAAAAACCACAACCCATGCGCTTTAGGCAAAATTTAATATCAAACAGTACCCAACAGGCAAGGGGTTGGTAGCCTTAAATTAGCTGAAATAGCCTTTTTCTTTGAGTACCTTACATCCCTTGTATACTCAGGCAAATATATATCTGACAGGGAAGACAACAACTCTTCCAAATCCTTATGGACAATACCTACTTCAAAATCCTGCAGTTTTGCATTGTCCTGAAAAGATAATCTTCATTTTTTTGTAGCTTTGGGTTTTTTTTGTGGGATGCAGATTCCCAAAGAAAAGAATGTATCCTTCCTGCCCCACATCTGGAGAAGGATGGATCTGACTGAAAGGTTCACCTGTTCAATTTGTAGTGTCTATACGTATCAGTATACCTGATGAGTGATGCTGCTCATCAGATGTACTGATGTCTGCCTTGTTACAGTAATTGCTAAAAATACTCAAAGTTTTAGATAACCAAAAGCTATTTTAATAAAAGCCTATGAAAAAAAGATCCGTAAAGCTGAACATAATGTCTCTGTGAGTATTTACCTTTCCTTCCTTTTAGTCTCTGAAGTTGCATTTGAAATGTAGCAAAGAGCCATCTTGTACTCCTGCTGCTGAGGTCCGGCACATTCTCCATGAAACTCAATATAATGCAAAACTAATTAGTAAGAGCGGCATATTATTTTTATGATCACTAATTCAGACTACAACCAACTGTCAAAGATGAAAGAGGACAGTAATTTGTAGGGAGATCTATTCAATGACTAAACAGGAGATAATGTAGTTGTATAAGAATTGAATTTGGTATCTAGACTTTCTGGAATCACAAGCTCTTAAGCAGACACAATCCACTCACTGTTTTATCTGCCTGTATTTAATAGACTAAGTGTAGTATTATGCAGCTTACTGTGATGCAAAGTCATACCAGGGACCTTTAAAAAAGCTTAGTGAGCATCCTTTCAATCTTCCATCTTTCCAATACCACGTTACTGGGTCCATTCTTAATCATTTTTGCTAATTTGATCAAAGTTGCTACTTGATTAGAGAACAATTTTATCTAAATAGTTTAGCATAAAAAAAAAAAAATCAATCACTAATTGTGACCAAATACTGTGATAAAGATCAGGTGCACATGCACACAGTAATGAAAATGTTAGAAAAGTTAGCACTATTGTGACTTCCTATCTGAGGATCATTTCGTGTGAATTCACAGGTATGAACCCTCAAGGTTTCCTCCTGATCCTTAAAGAAAACTTGAGATTCTAATGAGTAACTAATATTTAACCAGAAAAAGAGGTGACAAATTTGAATCGGACATAATATTGTGACAAACATGCACCCTAACATACACGCTTCTTGGTAGAGTATTCATGAAATGCTAGTCAACAGACATTAAATAGATTTTTTCATTACACGATCAAGTGGAGTTAGATCTTTGTCAGGTAAAGAGGTCATCACTGCATCTGTTCTGCCTGAACTGGTTTGCAGGGAAATATTTAAGTGCAAGATTTGGAAATGTCATAATTACAGGAGGAAGTGGTAAGTAGAACAGAGTTTACGTAGACCTCGCATATCTGGTAAACGAGTGCTGTTTATTTCTTTGTGTTTCTGGTTATGTAGCATCTGCTAAATGAGAAACTGAGAATTCGGGGCACAGTAATTAAAATTCTGAGTGAAATGTGCACACATAAAGCAGTTATTTTACATTGTGCTGCCTGCAGTCATGTAGACATGAGTATGAAGGAAAATGCCCTTACCTCACCAGCTGATCTTGTACGAGCTGCTGGCAGGTCTCTGTGCGCCCCTGGGGTTTCTCCTGCTCAGGAAACCCCCCATGTGCACCACAATACCCCACTCCTCTGCAGAACACACCTGCACCAGAGTTGTTCACCTCTGTGACCTACTTCAGTAGCTCTCTGAATCACTGTGTTGACATAAAGGACCCAGATTTTAAGCATTATGCTCCCCCAAGTTGAGGATGCCAGCCTCCTCAGTACTGGGATTTGTCATCATTTCTGACATAAGATTTCTCAAGCATGCCGAAAATCTGCAGTGTTTTTAGAATCCAGCTCTTCCTGTGTGCAGGGTCTAAATCATACATCCACAAATTGGTTTGGGTTGGAAGGGTGCTTAAAACTCATTCAGTTCCAACCCCTGCCACAGGCAGGGACCCCTTCCGCTAGAGCAGCTTGCTCCAAGCCCCTGTGTCCAGCCTGGCCTTGAACACTGCCAGGGATGGGGCAGCCACAGCTTCTCTGGGCAGCCTGTGCCAATGCCTCACTGCCCTCACAGTAAAGAATTTCTTCCTTATAGCTAACCAGAATCTCCTCTATTTAAGTTTTCATCCCTACTGCTATGAAAAAGAAAGAAATGAAAAATGAAAAAGAGAAAAAGAATGAAAGTGAAGAAATTAAAAGAGCACACCAAGCAATACTGTGGTCACTGTGGACTTTGTTATTCTCTGTAGTTAATGTGGTTTCAATAAAGAAAATGTCCCTGCCTAGACAGGAAAAATATGCTAACTCCAATACTAAATCCATCTGGCACAATAAAGTCAATATATACTCCATGACTATTAATCCTGAAAACACCCTTCCACAATAGAACAGAGTAGTAGAGTGCTGCTCTATGTAATCAGACCTTTATATGGACCTTTATGCAACAAAGACATCACAGAACCAAGTGTTTACCCTAGGATCATTATTATTGTTCTTATCATTTTATATGTTAGGTTTACTTTTT